TTTAAGCCACACAATCTAACCCATTTTTAAGCCCAAACAACCATATAACCTTGTCCAATATAGCTCCCTTAAGCCCACTAACTTCCAACATGAAAAAATCTCAAATTTTTATAATTCAATCTAGCAACCAGTGACCCAATTTCGGCTCCGTTCTTTGCAAAACCTCTTTTCCATATATATTTTTCCTTCATCAGTGAGGGCGCGTGTGATGGTTTCTGGTGATGGGCTTGGTGCCGTTGGAATCGTAAGGAGATTCCGAACAATTTGGTGTAGTTCCACTGTGTACGGGACTAAGCACCAAAATTGAAGAATGCGAGAGTTGTATTTCTGTGCTCTGATACCATGATAAATAAAGACTGAAATGAAAGAGAGGAGAAGGACTGAAATGACAGTGATGTATATTCAGTGTCTGTTATATTTCTATATTATTACAAGAGACTGAGCTCTCTCTATTTATAGAGAGGAGAAGGTGACCGAAGTGTATATTACAATACATTAAACTAAGCTTTCTTGTGTGCTGGTGTGTGCTTTACAGTGTGATCTGAACATGTGATGCTAGTGGGTGTGTGCTGGTGTGTGTTGTATTAACAGAACATGTGATGCTAGTGGGTGTGTGCTGGTGTGTGTTGTATTGTATACTTTAACAATAGGATCTAACATGTCAGAATTTTGCAATCTGTTTTGTACTTCATGTTCAATGTAAAAAAAATAGAGTTGCAAATATGAAGGTTTATCATTTGAAGCGTAAAGATGATTGATGAAATGATAAATTTGACCTTGAATACGGAATGTGTAGGTATCTCTGTTTCTCCTAGCCAAATCCTTATCGATGGTAACACCAAATGAAGTAAAAGCAAAGGAATTGTTATAGGCTCTGTTATATTTTAAAAAGTTTAGGGAATGAACAGAGTGACCCATAAATAAATCATATAATATGGGATGAACAGTGGTTGGAGATAGAAAAATGTCTCTACCAGAGCAACAAAATCCATTTGGCTCAAGATCTATTCTTTTTGTGGTGCAAAATTGGCAAGGAGTTCGAGTGCGCAAAGTGAATGCCTCAGTTGGAATGCATCTTTCTCCTTTCCTTTTTTTGGTTATAGAATGAATAAGCGATCATATTGGAAAAAAGAAGACAAGAGATCGTTAAAATAGATAATTTTGATTTTGAGAAGTATATGGTAATAGTAAACCACCTTCTGTATCAGAGCATAGATTCATCTCAATTTGTTCCTTAGCTATGTATTCTTGTTCTAGAGGCTCATGTGTTGTGGTAGATGTTGAATCGATTAGTTTTCAATGAACAAAAAATGATTATAACAAAATGTAGTAGTTATACTATAAGGAGGGGAAATTTGATAAGGATTGAGAATATGTATTTTTCTTTTATATAGGGTAGATAGATTTTTGCCTATATCAAAATTAGTTGGTTGAATGTTTTGTTGAAGATCATTGCTGATGTCAAAATTAGGAATAACAGTATGCAAAGCTGAAGGCTCATTAGATGTATGTGTGAAAGTAGGTTCACAAGTCCGTTGGCTTGGCTGATTTTCTTGCAAAGATTAGTAATAGTATTAAGATATGATGGATTTCTTCACAATGCTCAGAGTTCTCTTCTTCTTTGATTGATACGGTCCTTCTTTTCTTGAGAAAAATATATGTACGAATACTTCGATTTCCTTCTTTCCACCATTGTTGTTAATTTTGTCTATGAGTAGTTACAAATGTGGAAATTAATATATGATTAAATAGGCATGCAAATAACATAAAATGTTTTTTGGCATAAAGATTATTATGAAAGCAGGAAATGAAACTAAATTTTTGTTAGAATCTTTGGGACCTTAAAAGCGACATGAGCACCTTATAAATTCTTGGAACATAGGAATGAATAGGAAATTGAAGAGGACATATAGAATGGTATATTTAATGCCTAGGAAAGAGCAAAGAGGAATCTTCAGTTGCAAGGAGCGTTAATGCCTAGAAATGAAGCACAATTTTGCATTACAAATAAACAAAAAGGTAAACAATTTTTTTTTTAATATATTTGACTAACATTGAGTTTTTGGACCACCATTTGAAGGTTTTATTCATGAAAAGCAAATAAATTCATTTCATATCTATACATCTATATCGTGTGTGTGTATGTAAACATATTGTATGAAAAATATACCTATATATATTTTTGAATATGTATAAATCCTTATTTTGTCCCCTTTTTTTATTTATATTTTGTAAATATTTTTTTTTCTCTTTCGGGTCTTCACTTTAAAACAACTGTTTTTCTCTATTATTTTTGTACTATAATTTTTCTTTTTCTGTTCTATGAAACAGTATAGGTCTACTGTGAAAGATACGGTGTGTGAACTTGTGAAGTCTTGGAATTGGTAGTTGAATGTGTTAATTAATTTTCTGAGGGATAAGAAGAGTGTCTCTTGTTTTAGCCTAAATCATTATCCATCATGCCCAAAGTTTCAAGCATTGAGTGGTTAAAATTTGGATTTGCTCTGTTTACACCTCAGTCTTTTTCCTTAATGGATTTTATTTTTTACTCTTCTATTTTTAAAGGATCTCTATCTTTTGCACAAAATATTTTTTTCAGTGTAGTGATTTACTTATGCTTTTTGTTGATTTGTAAGCTTTATTGATTTTGGGTTTTCAATTTGGTGCAAGTAAATAACTAACAGGAGTTTTAAAAATGTAAACCTCATAATTTTGGATGGCAATTTGAAACCAAGTATGTCAATATATGACAAAATAGAACACGCCCAATCAAAGGGTGATGCATATTTTTTTTTTCATAGCTTTTTCATTTTTTGTTTCTGCACACATTCTTTGGCAAACCAATTTATTTTTCTTACAAATTAATTCAAAGAACACAACATAAGTTTATATGATTCTTGCATTCTCATATGATTCTTATTGTCTACATGCCTATCACCAAGTGATTTCCATAAACTATTAGCAACATCACAAATTTCAAAGCTTTGAAATCAAGTAAAGAAAATAAAAGGGAGGTGGGGAACAAGCTATTATCATCCCCTGAAGTATTCAAATTTGAAAGCTCCCTAAACCAAGATTATGGATGAAATACCCCCACTCAACATAGAGAATCCAAGTTTTAAACACAGCTCATCAAATTTATAAACAAATCAAAATTTTAAGTCAGAAAATTCAGTTATCTAGTGAGAGAAGGTTGCTAAGATTTATCTAATAAAGAACAATACCACTACTTTAATGGTGAGTACTGAGCGGTGAGTGCTTGGCTTTGATGGTCAAAAAGGAATTCAAGCATTTGCCTAATAGTGGTTACTTGAAAAGGTTGAGGAACGGGGACTTGGATTTGGATTGAACATTTGCCTCCTACTATGGTTTTTTGGATTTTCATTTTATTTATTTGTTTATTTTTTTTATATGGAATTTTTCGGGTGTTGTTCTAATGATGTTTAGTTTCTTTTCTCTTTGTTTTTGAATTAAATGTTGGAACTATCATTAAGTATGAGGTGTTCGATGGAGTGGATTGGAGTTTTTCCTTCTTTTTATTGGTTTTAGACATAACCTCAAATGATTCAGTGGCTAACATTTCGCTTGAATGTGATATTTCTTTGCGGTTGAAACTGATTTTCTTTTAGCCCAGGAGATATGAATTTTTTTTATTTCTTTTATTTTTTGACATTTCAAGTTTGGATGGAAAGTAAGAATTTATGTACATTACTACATAGCTTTTAGGTTGTGTTTGGATCTTAGATTTATATTAGGAATTGTGGAGAAAAATTGGAGAAAATAATTTCAAGGTCTCATTATTGTCAAGTAATATTGATAAATGGAGTAGCATTGTTGTTGGCCTAAAATGTTGGCATTTTCTTATTGGTCTTTTAGTCAACTTACTGCTACTTGACCAATTATAGTTGAAGAGTCTGATTAGTTTTTGGATTGTATTTTATTTGTTTATTTATTGATTTTTATTTTTATTTTTGTTTTTGGAACTTGTAGTTTTTGGTTTGAAATGGTTAATCTCTTGCTAGCTGTGATTGATCAATAGTTGTAATTAATCTTTTAACCTTTTAGGATTTAACAACTTTTCTTTCTAAGCAAATTTTTAAAGGTTCCCCCCCTAGATTATTTTATTCCCTATTATCTCTTTCTTCCAGCATTATTTTGAACCACTTCATGGTTATCGTAAAACAATTGATGATTTTATTTTATTTTATTTTATTTTTTCCTGGTTCTCTTCTATTGATATTTTGGCACTTTTTGATCGTGAATCATTGTAAAATTTATGTCCTATGAATATATGTAATGTCCCAACCCTTCACATATTATCGATATTGTCTGTTTTGGGCTACGCTTGCACGGTTTTGTTCTTTCCAGTGGGTCACCCATCCCAGAACTACTCCAACCTAAGGATGCTTAACTAGAGAGTTCCATAAGGGATTTCACCACTCGAGAAAAGGCCTTGATGCTATATAAGGGTCCGAGTTTTTACTTTTATAACCCAGGAACTCCCCATCCATTCCTGATGTGGGACATCGGGACCTTATAATATAGCTCGTCTACCTTTTTGGCAATTACTATATGGTTAAGTGTATTTTTTTTCATTTGTGAACATGATAATTTGGGTCATTATTAAAGATTAAATTGTATTGGTAGCTGGAAATACAGATGTCACTATTGTCTTGATTTTCTAATAGCATCTACACATGTGAGATGTGGCAACACATGAGAAGTTGTGGTTTACATGTATTGGCGAGCACATGGTGAACAATTTGTGGAAGCTATGCCAAAATATAGAATTAGAATGAACGATTAAAATAAAATTTGATTTTTCTTAGACTTTAATGCATGCAAAATAATCAAAAGAAGTTGTGAAGAATGAATGTGCAAGTAATCACATTTGGTAAAAGCATAAATTAAGAAGCATCATAAATAGAAATTATGAACAAGTTAAATAGGTCAATGCATGAAACAAACTGTAATTTTGAGTATTAGAGTTAAAAGGAAACCTGTTGTCGAAGAAGAAGTTTGTAAGTATAAAAAAGCTTCAACAGAACTTGAGCAAAATTGGGACTGAACTTCACTGTAAACAAGTGAAATTGTGGTAAGTGGTGTATTTAATTTATTATATTCGGCCCAAAGACGTCACGCGCCGATGGGGCTCCGAATCCGGAGGCTTTTTCAGCCCAAAGACGTCATGCGCCGATGGGGCTCTGAATCCAGAGACTGGCCAATCATGATGTCCACGAAGAGCGCTCCGAATCCGGAGGCTTTTTTGGCCCAAAGACGTCATGCACCGATGGGGCTCTAAATCCGGAGACTGTTTGGCCAATCGTGATATCCACAAAGGGCACTCCGAATCCGGAGGCCTTTTCGGCCCAAAGACGTCATGCGTCGATGGGGCTCTGAATTCGGAGACTGGCCAATCATGATATCCATGAAGGGCGCTCCAAATCCAGAGGCTTTTTCGGCCCAAAGACGTCATGCGCTAATGGGGCTCCGAATCCGGAGGCTTTTTCGGTCCAAAGACGTCATGCGCAATGGGGCTCCGAATCCGGAGACTGGCTGTAACAAGCCCGCGGGGGACCTCGCTACAGCTCGGACTCGACTTTTCGTAGTCACGGTTCTAAGTCTGAACCAAAGAGTCCAAATCCGGCAAATCATTTTAGGAAAACTGATTTTTGAAAGAAGTGCCAAACATGGACTGCTTTGCCAGATACAGAGTCGCCACC